ATATTTAGACTATTCTATATCAAATCTATAAAAGAAGATTTAGAAAACTCGATAATTTTTTAAAAACGTTTCTAGAAAAAGTTTCAACAACAAAATAGTATTTTCCTTTTTTTCGATTGTACATTATTATTATTATAAAACGACCTAAAACATTCACAATGCACACGTTTTGTTAATCATAATTTCTATCACTCTTCGACTACTTGTATGTTCGTTGTAAAAATTAGTCGACATAGAGAAGTCGATGTTCGACACAGAATAACCTTGTACAAAAACTGGCTCTTCGATGGTAGATTTTTGGTTCCTATGATCCTCGCAGTCGCAAATCATTTCAAGAAAGGCACGTCAATCCAAATCTTTGTTTTGAGTAACAACGGTAAATTATATGATATCTTATGTTATTAGAAGAAAAATTACCACTTCTAATCATAACTTTAATCAGAAAATGTTAAAGTATCATAGTAGATACGAAATTCTACGAAGAAATTTATTTTGGTGTATTTAAAGTGTAAAACTGACACTATTTTAGAAGAGAATTTATCTTTCCATTATTTTTGATTTAGTTCATTTTATTCTGTCATACTCTAGAACAAAAATAAAAGACTGTTCCATCGAAGACCTTCTTCCGAAGCGAAAATTTTCGATTTTTTTAATGGACACAGCTCCTCCTTGTCTGCTATATGAAAAGGTCGTAGAAAGTTTCCTAGAGACTGGTCTGCTGCAGAATTTGTCTCTTAAACTAGCTATTTTTGTAAAAAGATTAATTCTGATTCGAATGAGTTTGTTCACAAGTTTTTAGTGAATGTGAACAACAGTGAAGAAAATCTTAGAATAAAAGTACGCCATTTATAGACTCTTTTGTTATATTAACAGAACGTGCCGTTTGGTATCAGTGAGATCCAGAACACAGTGTTCAATCAATAGCGTTTCCTCTAAGCCCAATTTAAGACCAACGAATAAATTATGAAAAACAAAATAATTTGTAGACAAAAATAAAAAAAAGTATTCTTTTTACTGTCAAGAAAGAATTCATCGTTTGTAAACAGTTTACTAAGTAATTACTGTAATTAGCACACATAATAATTTGAATAGTTTGTTATTATCTATTAATCATTCATTATTGCTCTCTCATCGACTAAATTTTATAGTAAACGATTGTATATTGATGATAATCTTTTTTGTATGATATACTTAATTACGAGAAAAGAAAGATAATTTTCGTTTGGAACAAGTTTTAAAAGAATCACTTTTTTACAAGAATCGTATGATTACTTTTCTAGTCAGCGAGTTAATAAATTATTTCCAGTATTCTACCAGTACTTTCAATCGTCTTGAAATATATTTTTAAAAGAATATATCTTTATTTAAATGAAAATTGTTCATAAATTGTCCTCTCAAATTAATAAAAGATAAAATATGATTTTGGTCACCAAATTGTGATCAGCATCCTTAAAAATTATTCATTATGGTACGATTAATCAACAAGATTTTTGCCATATCAGAAAATCATTGAACATAAGCCACTGATGAGAAGAATAAATATCTAAACATGCCAACGGTTTGGATGTGCTATTTTGTAATGAGTTAATGATAGAACACCTATTCAACCATTAACGAAACGAAAAGATAAACGGTATTCAAAGTTTGTAAATACGTTATTTTTCTTCGCACGGTACATATTTTGTATATTATATGCTGTTTGAGAAAAGAATAATTCTAAGGTTGCTAATCACATCTTGATGATCAAAAGAATTCATATCCTTTATAAAAACATATCTAAATAGACGACAGTACGATTTTTATTTTATGCTCATTTAATCAAGGTTCTACAAACAAAAGAAAACAAGTTACGTTGAATATTGTAATTGTTAATCAAATCGATCATTTAATATTGTCATTGCTATTCGTGTTATAATATGTCTAGACAAAAATAAAATCAAGGTCTTGTTCTGATATTGATGCGTTTCAGTATCAAAACTTGATATTTTTTAAACAAATACATTCAGTCTTTTTTTATTAAACGTAGTTGAACAAATTGGATGCTAATGATTTTGATGAATTTGTATAATAAAAATTCTCGATTTATCATTATATACACTGATATCAAATTTTAGCTATGACTATATTATATATGAATGGAATGATGTTTTTTAAATAAAAATTATTTCACATTATTTACAACTTTGCATCGTAACCATTCTTGTCCAAAATATCTTGTTTTTTTTAAGCTTATACATACAATTATCAATTTATTTACGAAAAGTTGAAATTATTGTTCATATTATCTTCGTTAGAGAAGAAAACAAATAATGCAGACTGCATAACTTTCTTTATATTACGCTCTATTGCACTTTTGATGACAATCATTATAAATGCAGAACAAAATGAAAATATTCGTTTTTTTCTTTCCCAAGGTGACTTTAAAAGATTGCCATGAACAGGATAAACAGTAAATAGAACTAACTACACGCGATATTTTGTCTATTTCATAACAACAACAAAAAAGTTCAATTTTTTACACATTAAGCGAAATATTATTAGCGTACAATAAAAAATCTTCTTTATTGGATTCTTTCAATTTACTATTAATGTGAAATGAGAGGTGATGATAATGATAATGATGTATAATGGGATTTTTGTCATTTTAAAGCGGTGAAAATTTTAGATTCTATTGAAAAATAAAAAATGGGTAATCGAGTAAGTTCAAGAAAATTGATGTATATTCACGAGAATTCTCTAAATGTAATTAAAAATGAAACTAACAGCCATGTCAGTTGTTGGCACAATTGTGTTGGCACAATTTAAGTGTGCTTTTCTAAAAGTATTCTTTTCCGGCACAGTGTAGAGATGGTTTATAAAAGCATAGTAGTACACTTTAAACAAAAATTCAACTATCCAGGAAAAAATAATAAATTTTTGTCAAAAAAAAATTTATTAACATACGCATACATATTGAATTAAAATATCAAACAAAAAAGAACAACAACAAAACAACAATGAAAAATAATAAGACAGTATCGAATTATCATCTAGAAACAAAATATGACAACAGATATAGGAAAACAAACATTGAATTATAGAATAAAACAATCGAACACTAGGTTTTAGTTAGTCTATTATTTTGAATGAACTTAAGAGATGAGAAATAAGATTTATCAAATAGACAAAAATCTTAGAGACAAGTAATGAACAAACAAACGTGAGAGACGAGACATCTTCCTAAATTTAAGAGATTTCAAACAATGAAAAAAAGTGGTTTAGCATCGTTCTTGAGTAATCAGTTTAGATAAAGTGAGTATTAGGAGACATCTGTATTAAATTTCTAAATACATGAAATTTACAGGTATTATTGTATGAATGTAGTGGAATCATTTTGTTCTTGTGTTATGTCCATTTTTTCAATATTCTGTTCAGTTTTTATTGTTTCTGATACAATTTGTTGACTTTCCGAAACTTCTTTTGTTTTTGGTGATAAACCATCATCTTCTTCTTCATCTTCATTTCCATTCTCTGATTCACCTTCTGATGATGAAAGTGGTCTTTTTTTGCCTTTTCCACTAGCTCCACCTCTTCGTCCACTTGTACCACCACCTCGACGAAAGGATATTTTTTGATGTACATTCACTTGTTCATAGTTGACATCTATTTCTCCATTTTCTAATTGTTTTCGTAAATTCTGAAATATTTTTTCTAATTCAATTGAATCTGTATAAATGAGTGATGTTTCAATGTTAAATGTTTGAGCATTTTTACATAATAAAACAATATCTTGTTCAAAATCGTCTAATGTTATATAACGATAGGTTTCAATACGTCGACGAATACGATTAAAATCAATAGGATCTGTAATTGTTTGATAATAAATGGGTAATTGTTTTTGACCAGGTAAACGAATAAATGGTTGTGCTAATTGTCTACCCTCAGAATCACGATAATGAATTAGTTTATCTAATAGAACTTTACATTGCTGAAGAATTTTTGGATTCATATTTTGACGACGTTTTTTAACGCTACCACGTAGTTTATTAGTGTTGCGTTGTTGCCGTTGGGTAGATTGTTGTGAGCTGGGAGTTGTTGTAATATTTTGAGGTGTACTATCAACATCATCATCGTCTATATCAAGTAATGCATCAGTTGCTAATTTTTTTGTTTGTTTTCGTTGACGTTTTTGCTGTTCGACATCATCTAAAAGAGGAAAATAAAAATTTTCATAAAAATGACACTTATAGGCACATTGTTGAAAGTTGACATACCTAAATTTCCTTCTTCTAATGCAATTAAAAATTCACGTTCTGTTAAATTGTCACTATAATCAACATCTTTACGTTGTCGACGTCCTTTACCAAAATCATCTTCATTTTCTAATGATTGTTCAACTTCATCAACATTTTGTTTTAACCAATCCGGTAATTCATCTTCGGTTATTAAGCGATTTGTTTTCATTTTACGTCGATGTTTCACTATTTGTTTTGGTTTTGGTTGTTGTGATGAGTCATCAACCTCTTCATCTTCATCTTCTAAATCGTCATCCAAAATATCTTCTTCATCATCACTTTTAGCCGCATTTAATTCAGAATCAATAACCATTTCCTCGTCACTTTGATCAAGAAATGATGTAGTTAATTTTCTAAACATAAAAAACAGAAATAATTTTGAATTTAATAGCTTTTATTAAAGATTTATACCTGTTCGACTCTCTGGGTGTATCATTCGAATCATCATTCTCACTTATTTCATCTTCCAGATCATCTCCTAATTTTATTTTTTTCCGTTTAGTTGTAGATTTGGAAATATTCAGTTTTTTATCTGTTTTTTTAATCACATCTGCTGTGGATGTTATTGTTGGTTCATCATCCTCGGCCATTGTTGCTGCAGCCACTCGTCTTTCATTAGCTCCATCGCCTCCACTTCCCACACCATATTTTGCCTCATATTCTCGTCTAGCTATATCCATTCGATTAAATAAATTAAATTCATGTTCTGTTCGTGCTATCATTTGATTAATTGTTTCATCATCTGGTAAATCTTCATCATCAACTGGATTTTCTGTTTGTTCTTCATCATCTCCAACTAATATTTGTTCTAAAAATTGTTGTCGTTCACTACTTGTTGATGAACGATTGAACATACCGGCTTGTATAACTTTTTCATCAACATTCAATTTATATTTTGCACATGCTAATATTTTTTCTTCAATTGTATTTACACTCATCAAACGTAATACTCTCACTTCATTCTTCTGTCCAATACGATGTGCACGATCTTGTGCCTGTTGATCTTGATGTGGATTCCAATCAGAATCAAATAAAATAACAGTATCAGCTTTTTGTAAATTGAGTCCGACACCACCAGCACGTGTTGAGAGTAAAAATATAAAACAATTAACTCTATCATCATTAAAATTTTTCAATAATTCACATCGATCTTCACTCTTTGTTGTACCATCTAATCTTAAATATGTATAATTTCGATAGGCAAAATAGATTTCTAATTTGTTCATAACAGCTGTCATTTGACAAAATAACAATATTTTATGTCCAGTGGCTTTCAATTTTGGTAATATTCGATCTAATAATTCAAATTTACCGCTAACACGAAACAAATCAGGACCATCAATAATACCATATTTATAACCCAATGAATCAGCTAGTTTGTCTTCAATTGATTCAAATAAAAATGGATGATTACATATTTTACGTAGTTGCATAATTTTATTCATCAGAGCACGTCGACCGGTTTTCCCATTGGGATTTTCTGTTAATAAGACACGATTTTTTGACATGGCCACATAGAGTAAACGTTGCAATGCTGACATTTCACATTTAATAACATATTCAACCTAAAAAAATTGAAACAGTAATAGAAAATAAAACAACTTTGTAAACAATAGAACATACTTTTTCTGGTAATTGTGATTCTACTTCTTTTTTCAATCTTCTTAATAAAAATGGTCGTAATACTTTATGTAAACGTCGTATAATCAATAATGTTTCTTCATGATTTAATTCAACTTTTTCACTTGGCAATGTGGCAAATGGTGCATTAAACCAATCAGTAAATGTTGTGGCTGACTTAAATATTGTTGGTAAAATAAAATTTAAAAGTGCCCATAATTCAGGTAAATTATTTTGTAACGGTGTTCCAGTTAATAATAGACGATGTGGTGCACTGACGTAATATGTATTTAATATTTGTGTCAATTTACAATGATGATTTTTCATACGATGTCCTTCATCGACAATCAAATATTTCCACGGTACTTTTGACAGTATTGAACGATCACGCATAATATATTCATATGTTGTTAACAGAACATTGAAACGACTTGTACGTATACTTTGTGATAACATTTTACGTACTTGTGGTGTACCTTTATATTGGATGACACTTATATCGGGTGCCCAACGTTGAAATTCTGTTGACCAATTTGATAATGTCGATAATGGAACGATAATGAGAGATGGACCTGGATTTTTCTTAGAATCTAATAAATAGACAATGAGTGCGATTGTTTGTATCGTTTTTCCGAGACCCATTTCATCTGCTAAAATTCCATTTAAATTATTATTGTACAATGACACAAGCCATTCAAGTCCTTGTAATTGATAAGGTTTTAATTGACCACCAACTAATAGTTTTGATTGTTCTAGTATCGGTTCGCGTATACGATGCGCTAATGCATAATACGATTCTTTTGCATCGTATTCATCATCTTCATTTGTTGCTGTTTGTTTAACTGCATCTCGAATTGCTTCATCGTTGCCTGTTTGATCAATTACAACACTAAACATAAAATAAATCATGAAAAGAATATTAAAATAAAGAAGAATATCGTTTTTAACTCCTACTTTGTTGTTGATGGCTGTGGCGTCAATTTTGTCGATTCTTCAACTTCTTCTGGAACAATAATCGATTGATCCTGAATATCAGTTTCAATTGGAACTGGTTCATTAACTATTGGTATAGCTTCTATCAAGGGTTTTGGTTCATCAAGAGATAATGATTTTTGTTCTGCAAGAAGTAGATTTGGATCTTGTTTTGTAACAGCTTTTGGACGACCACGTTGTCGATTTGTCACCTTTTGATCTTGTTGATGTTGACGTACTAACTGGAAATAGAAAAAAACAATGTTTTTGTAAGAATGTTAAATATTTTGTTTTTGTTTATCTTACTTGTTTAAGATTGTCAATATAAGCATCTGTTTGTGATAATAACAGTGCTAAACGTGCATCCTTTTTCTCATCAATTAATTTTCGATACCCTTCTTCATCTTCATTCATTAATCGTCGAATTCGTTCTTTTTCATTTCGTTCTTGTTCTTTTTTCAATTCTCGTTCGCTATTAGCAAAATAGAGTACAACAGCTTTACTAATACGTTGTGTTGTATACTGTGTACGACGATGAAAATCACGAAATTCTTTAACATGTATAAGTATTTGATTAATAAATTCATTATGTTTTTGTTTTTGACGATGTTCTTGTTCTAATTTTTTTTGTCGTTCATATTGTTCGGTGGTACGTGCTTCACGCAATAAATGACGTTTTGGACGTTTATATGAACGAGGATTTAGAGATGTTTGTAAGCCTGTATCTTTTTTCATTGTTGTTAACATTTCATTTCTCAACTGTTTTTGAAATGTTAATAATTTTAATGATTTTAATTCGATTAATGCTCTGATATTTAATTGATCGTTTGTTTGTGCTGGCATTTGCTCTAATTCATTTAAACGATTTGATATACGATTTAATACACGTTTTTCACGATCTTGTTGAATATGTAACGGATTAAAACTAATCTGAGGTTCTTGACGACGCGTTGATGGTTGCTCATTATCATTATTAGTGTTTTCCAGACCAACTAATGTTTTGTACATAACTGTTGCTGATGGAAATGTTTGGTAAACATTTTGATGCTCGCGATCAGTAAGAACAATGGCCGTTGATGTTGTTTGAGGTAGCTGTTGTTCATTGATGTTTAATTGTGATTGAAGATACGATGCTAATTGTGTCTGGTAGGAACATGAAGAAATTAAATGATCCGAAACTGGTAAATTTCGAGCTAATAGACGATAGGTCGATATTTGAGATTTAAGAACGGATGCACGAACACGATCAAGACCTGTTTGATCAACAGTAACTAATGCATTTGGTTCATTGTAAATACTCGAAGACATGATATTATCTAAAACAGTAGAACAATGTATGTCAGTTCCGCTTCGAGATTCGAGATTAAGAGTACTTAAATCTACTGGCAACATTTTGCCAAAACTATCATCTTTCAAAAACCAACTGCAAGCAATTTCGCTTTTAATGCTTTCGTTTCTTTTTAGTTTACCAAACCATCACCGGGAAACCGTACTGGGGCAGCAGCTGGTAAACCAACCTTTCCTGTTTTAACCGGAAATTCATTTATACTACCGGGCCAACAAGCACTTGGGACCGGTATTGGAAACGTTTCACTTCCACTGAACATCGGTTCAGGAATAGGAGCACAATATCCAAACCTCAATAATTATTTACCACCGCAACAACCGCTCAACAACAATTTATTTCCTACGCTCACACCGAATTCTTATTTACCACAAAACATTCCATCATATGCTTCGTCACAAATCGCTCCACCATATGTTCCGCAAATGCCGATGCCATACCCGCAGGTGTTACCCCCTGCAGCTCCAATGCCACAGGTCATTGTACAACCCTATCCAGTTCATCGTCCTCACCGCACCAGACGGATACGTCTGGTACGAAGACATCATCACCGCCGTCCCAGGGTGCGTATTATAGACAGTAGGTCCTACAGCACGGGTTCATCTTGTTCATCCTACCGTCACTGTTCTCGTTCACATTCTCATCATTCAAAACAATGTCAACAACCAATTATACTATTACCAATACAAATACAACAACAACCAACATCGATACAACAACAGCCACTTGCTCTTGCTCAACCTAGTAGAGCACATCAACAAATAGTCCTACCTCCAATACAAATTCAAGGAGTGGCAGGTCAACATGGTCAACCTCTTGTATTGCCATCAATTCAACTCAATTCATCAATCTTAAACAATGGCACAAATCAAAATCCAATTATTGTGAATGCAACGCCAGTAGGAGCTTCATTACAACAATCTTTCTCAATGCCACAAATCCCACCAATTCAAATATCAACAACAGCACAACCACAACAAATCCAATTGGTGCATACATCCTCACCTCTTCAATATGTGACAAATCCTGCTCCAGTAGGCATACATAGTCGGCCTGCAAATATATCTGTCAATAACTCAAATAAACAACAACAGAAAATACGTTCATCTGCATCATCTACACGCTTAAGGCGATGACCACGCGATCGGTATCCGGGAGCAAACGTGCTTTCATAAATAAAGATTCGCAATTAGGACAGAGAGCAGCAAGAGTGGTTGCTTAAAACTAATAAAAACATAAACAGTATACTCTCATAACATTGTAGAATTGACCAATTTTTTTTATGTCATGTTTCCTGTACGAATAAAAAATGCACAAAATCCAATATCACATAAGGGCGAAAACGTTTATAAACTACAGAAAATTACAGCTGAAGAAAAGTTTATAACACAATAATCTGTTCAAGAGAAAAGCAGGTAGCTGATATAAGATTTATTGAAAAAGATTATTCAATCTGGACTTTTACACTGACCTACACATTTCACAAAACTTTGCTAAACTTAATAGAAAGAATTCATATCTCTTATGTTCTTCCTAAAATTGATTATTGTTGTGTCTTATATGAGAGTTCGTTTTCTCTTTCTGTTCTAGACTCTAAACAAACTTGCTTCTCGTATTATCTCTCACAATTTTTACTACCCTTCTTCTAGCTCTTTACTTGTCCAAATCTTTCACTTCGTCGTAAATATTTTCAGCTGATACAGTTTTTCAAAATTTGTCATTATCTTAGTCTTTTCATTTTCTATAATGTTGATCGTCGTCATTATTGTTCGTTACGCTGTCATCATTCCAAATAATGATCGTACTTCGCCTCTTGTCAATGGTTTTTCGTCACAAATCGTTTCTTCTTCCTTCTCTTATTCAACAGTTAGTTACTGACTAGAATAAACTTCCGGAATTAGTCATTTGTTCATCTTCTTTACCGTCATTAAAAATAGCTCTATCTCAGCATCTTTTACAATAACTTAGCCGCATTTACAGTAATAAAACAAGCCCAGTGGTATTACTCTCTTGCTATTTTGCTTTTATTCTTTTTTATCTCTTGTCTCTTAATACACTAGTTTGCTGTTTTTTTTTCAATTTCTATTTATTTCAATTTTTATTTATTTCAATTTTTATTTATTTCAATTTTTATTTATTTCAATTTTTATTTATTTCAATTTTTATTTATTTCAATTTTTATTTATTTCAATTTTTATTTATTTCAATTTTTATTTATTTATAGTTTCTTTTGTTGTTGTTTGGCTGGAGTGATTGTTATTATAGGTCGATGACCTTTGATGACTCTCGCTTTTCGTGAATAAATTAGTCTTAGTCTTAAGAAGAATCATATGGAAACAAAAAAGATCAAAATGGTAGCAATGGATCATACTAATTTTCTGCTCTCTGAAACTACGCCTGCGAAATGAGTTTATATCAAACAATAGCATCATCATTTAGATAACGTACCAGCGCTTCCAATGATTCATGCTGATACAGGCGTCAGCAAGGCGCTCTTCTACTTTGAAAAATTCAGTTTTCACTGCGTTTTTAGCAGGAAAATGTGGAAAATACGATGGTAAATAGTAGAAAACCATTCGCTTCTAAATTTTTGAAAACTCTACTAATAGATAAATTTAAGAGATATCATTACGTGAATGTAAGGTGATAAGTTAAGATGAGATATACGTCTTCGAGCAATGATGTAATTTTAACAGTTAATCGGAATCTATCAATGAGAAAGACCGTGAATGCTCTTCACTTTTATACATGGATGGTTGCGATAGAAGCAAATCACAGTCAACGCAAAAGCGATGCAAATTACGTTGATTGTAATGATTTGCTCCCTGCATTTGCTCCTTATCGCAACTTATACTACATCGATCTAATATTTTTTTGACTAAAAAATAAAGGATAAAACAAAATAATAATTAAATGAAGCACAAGGGTTGGTAAGACTTATCAGCCAATCGTATCGGGAACCAGAGGCTGAAGATGCCGTTGCACATCAAACGCAGAAGAACTCTGCTTCATCCTTCCATCTGGTGCAAACTTTTGTAGAGAGAGATTGAGCTGCTTTTGTTGAGAGATTGTGAGAAGTATACTATTAGTAGCATTTCTTGTAATTAGTAAGCTTGATGTTTACGATTGAGCACGCTTTATTTGGTAGAGATCCAGTCCAAAAACTTTGGCGGGGGTGAGAGAATAATTTTTTTCAATGTTTCGATGGGAAAAGAAGTTGTCCCTTATTGTCCCTTATTGCGCCGCCACTGTAGAGATCGCTCATATACAGTAAGGTCGTACAGACTATTTCATGGTTATTAAATAGTATTGCTTTGAACAGATAATTGGATGTACTAATGAAATATATTCCCTGGAGGAAGAGACTTTTGTGAAACTCCTTCAGTATCTCCAAAGGAGAAGGAATTGAAGTGTTATACTCAAAAACGCTTGTTTTGGCATATCACTGGGATAAAAAGAAAATAAAGTTGATTTTGAGTTACTGGCAAATGCCTTTTTGTATTCAGCACATTCGATAACCCGTACTACCAAAAGTTTAGGAAAAATTTTGAAACAATGTGATGAAAAATAATTTCCATAGAAAATCACATTAATTTGAAAAATTTTCCTAAACTTTTAGAAGTACCGCTCGCCAAGAATAGAAAATCTGCTGGGTTAGCGAATGTGCTAAATACGTAAAAGAACTTTTCAGCAACTTAAAACCAACTTTATTTTTGTTCCGGTGATATGCCTGTTTTTTTAACCCCTGCTCCCTCCCGGGCGTATTCATCTTGAAAGGGTAGTGTATTCATTTTAGCCTGGCGGTGTATTTCTCTCAATAGGGTGGTGTAATCACCTTAACAGAGTGGTGTGTCCCTCTCAAAGGGGCGTGTATTCATCTTAAGAGAAGACCTTCTAATCAATTTTAGAATCACTCTCTGCGTGGTGCCTGTATGTGTGCGTAGCCTAAACTTCTCTGTGTTAGTGTACACTATTCCCAGTACTATCTTTCGCCTAATATAAAGGAGTTATCACCATTTTTGCCCTACAAGGGGCTGCCCTGACAATCGAAGAGATGAGTAACCACATTTCTTCTTCACTAAAAAATACCAGTGTTTCAAGAACTGGGTCATTATGATTTGAAGGTTTCATCAGATTATTTCTTGATCAGTAGAAATAAACGCAGAAACTTCACAATTTTTTTCTTTTTATAGCCGAACATTACATACATAATCTAAATTAACTTATCACTTTAACCCACATTTCTTGTTCAAATGTGTTTTGAATGAATGACCAAACAAAGAAAGTGTCATTGATCACACGATCAACAAAATAAAGCCTCGAATCACAGACGCTCTTCTAAAAAGAGTCGCACGTTTTTGATAAACTTATATTACAATAAAGATTAGAACACGTATTTTTCGCATGTCACAAGCATCTTAGTTTATGATAAAAATCTTAATTGATAATCAAATTATTTTTTAATCTCTCTTTCGAAAACGTCTGATATTGAAAATATTCGCACTTTTTTTACTAGTACCTGATAGAACAAGATTTTAGTGGATATACGAAGAACTACGACGTATGGTGCATCATATCTTCTGGTTGAAATTCCACTATCAAGTGAAGCTGCCGAAATGGAGAATGTTACTTAAAATTTGAAACTTGATAATCGTCATTAGAACCATCTCTTGTCCAAGAACTTCAGCTCGTACACCAAATCCAGTATTGATAATTGCTATCATAAACATTTTAATTATATTTTTCAGCAGCACCGTCAATTTCAAGTTAAATATGGGCGTCGCTAATAATTCTTGTCTAGTCCTGACACACATTTATTGTTTAAATGTAAAAACAAGTTTTTAATTAATATCGATTAATGTTTTGATGTTCAGTTATTCACTTGGAATACTAGTATTCATTTAGATATTTATGACGACTTTGAAGAACCAGCCCAGGTCGACGAAAACTGGCATTTAATTGTCCATTTAATCGTCCAACAGCCTGTTAACTGTATGCCAAAAAATGGCCTGTTAATTGTGTAAAAATCGAATGAAAATTGTCATTTAACAGTCATTATAATGACAATTTTTTGACTTTGAAATAACGGTGAAAATAATACCAGATTATAGGCAATGTCCGAAAAATTGTCATTTGACGGACACCATTAAATGGCATTTTCGTCCATTTATTAGACCGCGTTCACTAATGCCAAATAAATGTGGCCGTTAAATGTTCGTTTTTTCTCCATTTCAAAATGGCAAAAACTGGGCATAAAATGGCATTTAACAGCCAGTTTATGGTCATCAAGTCATTCACCGTTTTATTCTGCCGTCATGAATAGTATAAATGACTCTGATTTTAAAATAATTTAGAGTGTTTCTCTTCTTCAATTAAACGGGTCATAGAAACTTGCCTCGAAGAAGTGGTCTATGGTTCTTGACTCGATGCAGGTGATAGTACCTCAGGTTCAGAAGATATTTTTTTGACATTTTCTAACGGTCTAACAATTGATATTTAAATGGCAAAAAAATGTGACCAGTAGGGTTACTGGCAGCAGTTGAATGCCTGTTATCTGACCGTTTTTTGACATTTAAAAAAATGCGAAATAAATGCATTTAAACGTTCCCAGTTATAATGGCAAAAAACGGCCTAAAAACGGGGTAAAATGTCATAAAAATGCCATTAAAATGCTTATTAACAGCGTATTAAATGGCATTTAATTGGCAATTAATTACACCATTTTCGACGTCCTGGGAGTAATCTTGATAGTACTATCACCTGACAGAATTCTCTCACATCAACTATATCATCAAGTAGTTGGCACATTTTGTCCTGCTAGTCGGTAGTGCTCTGAGCGTTAATACATGTGGCTGATTCATGTTGGTCTGAATCATAGAAGTCTTTACTTTCTTCAGTGATTTCTATCTCTCTACTTCTGATCCCAAGATATTTTTACAGTTTTTAGTTTGTTCGAATGAACTACAGAAATGACGAAAGCGACAACAAACACTTTGTTACATCACTAATTTTCGTACTTGGTATCGAAGTTATTATTTTACATTTTTCTGAATCTTTTGTTCATTAATTAGTAGTGACGCATAGATAGGCTGTGTGGTTTTTTTGCGGTCACTTTTCAACACACAGATTATACTCAGTTGATCGAGGTATAGCTAGGGTGAGGAGCAGAGCGAGAATCGAATCAAGAAAATCTGATTCGATTCGGAATAACATTTCTGAATCCTAAATCGGTTCGATTCGGCAAACAGTCGAATCGAATGCCGAATTATTCGATTCGTTTCGGGCTCTGGTGGGAAGAAAAGTGTCATCAGCCACCGAAAAGTTCAGAAAGGATTGACATTCTCATCATAATAAATGAAAACTCTCAGCATGATAATGATCTCAAGATCATATAAAGGTCTAAATCCATTCATTAGTAGAATACTACGACAGGAAACGGATAACTTCATCGAAAAATATTATAAAACGTCAATAGTGCTCAATTAGTGAAGAATGTTGTCATATCATTCACTTACTTTCTCGCGGATTGTCATATGATTGGTTCTAATGTGTGTTATTCACGATCCAATAAAGATGTTCAAATTAATAATTCATCATTTTTTTTTCATTTCTGTTTTCTGCCGTTTTTCTTCAGCCAATTAATTCTTCTCGTTCATGTTTAAAAAGAATTGACACTTATAATGCAGTAACGGAAGAAGAGAAAAAAGAAAAAAAAGAAGTATTTTCTATTTTAATGACTGTCATAGATCATTTATGTTCTATTTACATCTCTAATTGACGCAATGTCACAGCGAAATTAATATTACTAATTATTAATCTTTCTTAAGTTCAGTAATGTACACTATTCGACCAAATACCGACTTTGCTGTCCAAATGGCAGCATCATTACAACAATTACCCTATCGTTCAGCATTCTACATGGCATCACCATTTCTCATCTCGGACTCGAAAACATCGACGTCAACACCATTACCGTTACCAGTACATCTGCCAACAAAGAATTATCATTTGAACAAGCGTATGAGAAAAAATGACAAACATTCTTCGAAAAAACATCTCAATAAGCATCATAAAGATTCATCCACACAACAGTAAGTCCAAATTAGTCAAATAATTCGAAAAATATTATTCAAATTACAGCGATATCTTTATCAATAAGTATTTCTGCAAAAAAAGAAAAATATATATACTGAGATAATTGCATAGTGAGTATGATGAGTTTAGAGAAATACTATTTTGAAAACTGATTGACAAACTTTACTTATTCTCGACAAGACGTGGCCCGATCATAAACGTCTGATAGATTGACGAGAAGACGGACACGTTCCTTTTAGGTTTCTCAGTTTCTGAAATAAAGTTTGAAAGCTCCATTCTAGAAAGCTTTCTAAAAAGTTCATTCTACAAAACCATTTCTATCTGCTATTCACACACTGTTTTATTATTTGAAAAGATAAGATAGAGCATAGGTAAAAACTATACCTACTAGAGCGCCTAATCGGGTCAGTTTTTGATGGTCCCCGGTCCAAAAACAGTCGAAGCCCGCCCCTCCCACCATGCTAATCGGTTGGCCTGATAATCTTTCTTGGCCCACCTGATCGAATTTACTGTAAATATTTTTAAACGAAATTCAGCTTTATGATAGCAAAACCGCAGAAAAAGCTTTGCTAAAGATTGGCTCAGCCGCAATATCAGTTAATTAAGAAGACAAGTATTTTTTTGGCAACAGAATTCAGTCAGATGTGGGTGATGATTGCACAAGATATATCTACTAGTATATATATAGGCTTCTAACCAATTGTACTGCCAAGAGTTCAGAAGGAGAAAAGTTAAAGATTGAATCTAAAGGCATTACGCAAAAGTAGGAAAGTCACTAGAAAATGTTGACTCTGCGTATTAATTGTGCTTTTTTATCGACTCTTATTTTTTCAAATAATAAAACAGCATGTGAATAGTAGACACATAAGAATTTTTAGAACGAAGAATTATCTAGAATGAACTTTTTAGAAAGTTTTCAAACTTTATTTCAGGAACTGAGAAACAAAAAGAAACGTGTGATATTTCTTCTCATCGATCCGTTATCCTATTTTTAGGAGTTAAACTATAGTAGTGTATAAACTGATAAAAAAGAGAGAAACATAGATACGGTATCTGTTAAGATATTTAACCTTTTTTTCTATGAAAAGAAATATTGAATATGTAACAGCACGAATTGTGTTTATTCTTATAACTTTCACTAGATCTTCAAATTCTACCAATCGTCCAGTTAAAAAGTCATCATTTGATATTGAATCACTGTTGGAAAAGCACAATACAACCACGTATAATGATTATCGGTTTAATACAAGTATTGGTGGTAATGATACGTTCGATAATAATTCAAGTATTGATGACCATAGTGAAACTGTGTCCACTAGCCCATTTCGTAGTCCAATATCATCGTATGCAATTTATAATCAATTAAAATCACTTCAAGCACCAAGAATTACACGTATGTGTCTATCTTTTTACATAGCTTCATTTTAAAAAAAAATGAAAAATCTAATATTTTAGCTTCTGATAACTCATGTAATAGAAAAATATTATCACCAACATCATCACATCAAAATTGTACAAAACCAAAACGTATTCGAACAATATTTACACCTGATCAATTAGAACGTCTTGAAGCTGAATTTGAAAAACAACAATATATGGTAGGAAATGAACGATATTATTTAGCGACATCATTAAATTTATCCGAAGCACAAGTTAAAGTTTGGTTTCAAAATAGACGAATTAAATGGCGACGACAATCATTAGAAGAGCATCAACATCGTTTAACATCGTTCTCAATTGAATCAACATCAAAACATGATAATAATTCAAAATGTGATGAAGATGATATTGAAGAGAATGATCTTGATCTTGATGAATCCACAGATGATGAAAACTAACTAGAAAATATATAGACAGACGTATGTAAATTGTTTAATATGGTCAAGTCTTTTTGTATTAAAATTAAATAAAATATTTTTGTCAATTTGATATTGGCGAAAAAAACAATAGTTTTTATTAAGAACAAAGGCTTATGAATCTACTCTATATATGTAACTTTTACATACATACACGATACATAGATTTATCTACCATATGCAAGTGTTGAGAAAGCAGTGTAGTACTTTTATGTGGTTAGTTATATCTATTGGTATATTATTCTCGTTCTTCAAATAAATATGAGTAACATAAAGGAAAAACTAGATATTACTGATTTTCATAAAACTTTTCAAATTTAAGTTGTATCCATATTTGAGAAATTGTAAATCTTTAAATAAACAGATAAATTTTCTTTCCCATCTATAAGAAATTGCTGCTCTTTAATTAACACATTTCTGTGACATTAACATTATTGTTTCTTTTACCCTCTTAAAGATCATATTATTTATCGTAAACTCGTGTTTGACACTTTTTTTCTATGTGTTATTCCAATGAATTATTTTCACACACTGTACTATATACGACAATCTTCTAGTTTAGTTTCACAATTTCATGTTAGAATATTATTAGAGATAATCTCACAACAATAACGGAAATAAACAATCTATATCTGAGAAATGAAAAAAAAAAAACATTTTACGATTGAGTTAGATAAATATAATCTGTGAATATTTTAAAATATCCAAATGTGTGATAAATGAAATGAATTATTAGTTTTAACACGCTCAGAAAAATAATAATTGTATAGTGTCATGAGACACAGAAAGTTCACTTTTAAATAAAAAGTTTAAAAACAATAGAGAAACAGTATCAGTCTTAATTTGTGATTATCACTTCAAGAATATTTACATAATTCTATATAAGGGGATATTCTGTTAACATTCACTTTTCATTCCGGTTTAAATATTTTCTTCTATCTTTTCAAATAACTAATTAATCAAACATATAAAATTACACTATAATAGTGTCAATCTTATGATATTTTAAATTGCAGATAGTTAAAAATTAACAATTAATTAGATACAGCCAGCCTTATAAAATTTACAACCCTCTTTTAACCAATCACTTATTCTCTTTCTACTCGTAAATATCATCTGGGATTGTTCTCATGCTTTGCTAATAACATACAGAACATACAGTAACATATTTTTACTGTATTGCCTTTCTATTTCTGTAGTGTAAAATCTCTAATTCGTTTTCAATAGGAAAATAACGGCAATGATTTATTCTATTGAGCTATTTCTTAAGATGACCCTAGAATAAATGATTAAAACAAAATTTTTCGATCTCTCTTCTTTGATTTGTGATGTGGAATCGAACAAAAGATTTCTTCGTCCAATTCTCTCTTACAAATAGAGCTAAAACAAAGATCGCTTTGTGAATTATTTTTCTAATTCTTTATTCACTGATGTAAAACAAAAAAAAAATTGTAAAAGGCTATTTAAAATCGTTGTCTCTTCTTTTTAACTCTTTTATTTGACAAACCTATTTTTATGTTTTAATCGTGCAAAGTGGGTGTTTTTCCTTAATAATGTTGTTTTTGAAACAATTTTCTCAAACAAAATAATGTACAATGATAAATGTTTAATAACTATTAAACAAATATTTGAAAAAAATTATTTTGTTAACGACTGTTTATTATGTCGTTTAATTTTTTGTGTTTAATTTTATTAAATATTACAATTATTTACTAAAAATAAGTTTCCACTTTCTTTTTTTCATATAATATATCAGATTATAGTACAGTTGATTTATTCCTAGATAAAAGAATAAAAAGAACGTGTCTGTTAATGACAATTGGTCAAGAAAAAGAAATTTTAGTGAATATGACAATGTTCAACATTGCAATCTCACTTCAACTAGTATATCCTGTAACTGTGTGCATGTGCATAAACATCCTGTAATTTCTGTAAGCTATGTATTAAGAAAACAAGTTAAAATCTTGATGACGATGAGTATTTGTTATTAATATATTTTGCTTTCAATGATACATATAAACTAAATTGATCCTTATTTCTTTTGTTTTATTTTTTTTGTATGACTTTGAAGTGTTTGATTTAACCATACACAATGATAATAGCCACTAAACAAACGTCTTCTATAGTATAGCACATTTCATAGAATGAATGAATGAAGAGATATATGTGAGAATATGATAATAATGAACATTCGACAATTCAATTAAATACAAAAAAGCTTACATAAGGAGAAAAATAAATATATGCGAAAGCATAGCAGATAAACAAACCGCTATAGAACTAGTGGAAAATATAAATATTTCCTATTCATTCAACTATATAAGTACTCTTCGTGTAGAGCTGGGAGATGTCTCATTTTAATCAGAAATTTGCGGACTACAATCGTGTCTCACTAACAAAAGGTTTTGATTATTTTCCAGAAAACCGGGTCTTCAAGAGTCATTGGCACGAACCCTTTGAGGCTTTTTACTATCCCGATACACTCTATCGATCGACATATGAACGATTGAAAAAGGAGTGTTACAGTAGAATAATGTTCCTTGTTAGTCGTCAGTCCTCATACCACGTAGCAATTTTTGAATTTCGCTTTCGTTCATTCTCTATACGTATTTTAAGTCAGAACTCTGAAAATAACCCCAATTCTACGGAATATTGGCTACTTATCTCTGAATAGAAAACAAAATTCAAAAAACTCTACGGACAAAATTTAGATAAATGTCATAGCTTGAAAAAAACGATGAAGGTTTTACGATGAATTGTCGAGGACGAGGTACAATTTTGCTTCGTTAAAACCATGTTCTGAGAAAAACGTTAAACATGTTTGAAGAGCATAGTCACAGCAGATTTCAGGTTCAATATAGGAGTATGATACATATTTATGAAGCAAAAAGCTCTTTCTATTCAGATATAACGGCTTGAATTATGTTTAACTTAGAGGTTATTTGACCGCTGGGAAATCTAATGAATATCTGACAGAAATGTCAGATATCAGCATTAAGCAGAATTTTTTGCTGATTCATCGCGATTGTGAGAAAAAATGAGCGATAAATTTCGATTAAGCACAATTTTTGCTGAAATGGTAAGCAATCGTCGATTTTTCTAAAACACGCATGATTTCAACAAAAGTCGCGCTTAATCGAAATTTATTAACGATTTTTTCTCACAATCGCGATGAATCAGTAAAAAGTTCTGCTTAAAAATCGCGATTAAGTACACGATCGATCGCCTGATTAATTGCGTTTAATCAGCCATTTCTTCTCGACTTGGCGACATGGGTAATCATTCCCCTTTACCATTTTTCTAATCTTTTTGATCTATTTCTTGTACGAAAAGAATAAACAAGTAAGATCCTTCTTCATGTCAGAAAATGTTTTTTACTGTCTTAGATCCAATTTCGACGAAACTTTCATAGAATGTTTGTCCCATGTACACGAGTACCGCTTTCCGACAAGAAAATTCTTTTTACTCGAACTCGACTCGTGCCCGACTTATACATAAATATTTTCTCGTTTTGGTTCTTAGCTAAAAACTTTTGTTTTTCGCCTGGAGATCTCAAGTTATCATTACGTTCTCAAGTAACTCTTTTAAAACTTCATGTATTTTAGCTGAAATCTTGGATTTTTTCACTAACATTTTGTAGAAAAACAGAATTCGTATCCGTAACTTCTCTACCCGTTGGGTTGCACATCTCTACTACAGAGTTCAGAAACATTTAGATTAAAGCTAGCACATGCATCTGGAGGTTAATAGAACAGGATCTGTAATGTTTTTCTCTATGAGGTGTCTGAATACAGAAAAAGTCAAAAATTCAAAACGGCTGTTCTCATTTTATAAAAAATGCTGTTATTTTCAAAAAATCGGACTTCATTAGTCTCAATTTGAAACATCTCCGAACTCTCGAGTATCTAAGGTCATGAAGAACTCTTGCAACTACGAGACATTTCAAGAAACAAAAAAACATAATCGATGTTTACTTTTTAAAATGAATTATTCCTGAAATATTTCAGTCAAAAAGTAGTTGTTCGCATATTTCTAGAAGGTTTCGAGTACGTAGTCTCTGATGAAGTCGTGTCCCGTATGCATGTACCTATGTAGTCTTTGTGTTTTTGCCTGTTAAGTTTAAAAAACCCTCGAACAAAAGTTATTGTTGAAAACAAAAAACTCAAAACTCTGTAGTTTTCTTAAAAATTGCTGTTATTTCTAGTATACAGCAGGCTCAGTTTATACCATACATTCAATCGCAAAAGTTTATTCGAACGACGAATATTTTTCTTTTTGTTTTGTTCAAAAATAGTGAACGGGAACAAATTGTCTAATTCTCTTAACAACACTTCCAATTGACGTGTGTACTTCTTCGTGTGTACTTCTCTTATGCATTGTTTGAAAATGACTGTAAAAGTCGAAATATCACTATATTAAAGTAACAAGAATTTTTATTATGAAATTCTATACAGCTGCATTGACAGTCTTACGTTTGTGTCAAAAACCGTTGCCCAATAAAGAAAATATCTAAGTCACTATGTTTCTTGTGTATTTTTCTAATTTAATATTTCAGCGTTTTTATTTGTAATATATCAAATCTTCCATTAAATTCGGCACGGACGATAAATCCTAAATGACTCAGCATCTCTCTTATAAACGTAGTAAACGGCTGGAATTAAGCCATACGTGTCATGCACTAAACGTTATTTTGAAATAGGACGCTGTTTTGTAATAATAATTAATATACATTTACTTCATCAGTGACAAATATTTGTTTCTATTGTATCTTTTTGTTTTAACTCGGTCTTGGACAAAAGACGAAGGCTATTGAGAAGAAGGATATTATGGTGAAGAAAAAATTCTTATCCAAAACAAAAAAACATATTTTTTGCTGCGTAGAACTCAGGACCGTAGGAAGGGGGGACATTGGGGACCGATCCTCCCTTGACTATTGAAAAAATGATCTTTTTCCACTGAATCCCGTCAGAAAAAGTTGCTGATTGATAAGACTTCACACTATCTCTGAAGACAAAAAAGTCGATCCCCTCCTTCGCAAAAATCCTGGCTACGGGCCTGATAGAACTTTTTCATGGTGACACAATGTGCACACCTGACCCATTTGAACCTGTGAAGTCATACGGAGGAGATGCGTTCTCTGGGTGCAATTCTGCAGATCTGTTAGGTTTTTTACTTAAGAAAACAGAGGAAATGTCCTCTCTTGATAAATAAGACAGAATTTAGAGAGCATTAAATCAATCAGTGAAGATTCCTTTGAAAAAAACAACAACAGTTTAATTTTGAGATTTTTCTAGTAAACGAAAGCACTTGATCCAAATTTGTGAAGCAAGGCAAGCAATTACAAGTAAAATTATTTCCGCTGAAGAGTTCTTTTCACTATGTCCTGTATGAGCCACTTATAAATGTAACCAATGCCACTTATACTTTCTTTATTCAAATACAAACGACGAAAGAAAATTTTTTTATCAACATAAGAACAATTACGACATCGACTGTATCATAACGAAGGTTACGTTGCATTAAGTGAACTTTTTTGCGAATGTTTTCGACCAAAACTTCTGAAAAATTCCATTTTGGCGACGGCGTGAAAGTCTCAAAGAACTGATTGCGATAGAACGCCTAATATATCCACAATTAAACAGATCAAGACAAACAAAACAAAAAATGACTCGACTCCTTTTACGTAAGGATGTTGAGAGTGTCGACATCATTTCATTTTAGCTTATCTCACCCTTGTAGTGACTGCAATTGACATCTGTTTCAGTATACTCATCATTTTTCTCAATGATACAAATTTACATAAAATAAAATTTTTTTTTCTTTCCTGTAAATCAGTAAATAGCTTTTCTACTACTTTCAATAAATCTACTAATAAGAGGCCACTCTTCGCTTTCTGAACATGGCGACTTTTTAATGGAAAGACAACAGCAAAAGGGCATCAAACGATTGAATGACAAAATTTAGAAAAAAATTTCGACGTTATGTCGTTCGTTCAGCAGAAATAATCGCCTTTCGGTCCATAAAAGCAGGTGATAAGCAGTGTAGAAAACGACAAGAAGATACAAGGGGGAAAGGCGGCTCCGGGAGTTTTCCGGAGCTGTTGAAATGCTTTCCGATGCTTGAGATGTTCAGCATGCGATGCTCTGCGATGCTGAGAGATGCTTTCCGGAAGAAAGAAAAAAGTCGCCTTTTCCCCCTTAAGAAGGTATCTTTTGAGATTCCCTCCTTGCTTCAAAAAAGGGCATGTGAAGCATTCGTTCATTAACAATAAAATCGATTGCTTTTTAGTTTACTTCTTTGATGTTGACTTTCTTAGGAGACTATAGAGGAGAGTTTTATATACCCTGAATTTAGTTTTGAAGAGACACCGTTTCATGTCATTAAGTCCATATAAAACTAAGCTCACAAAACTAAAACGTGAATGTTAAATGCTTTTTAACTCTTGGTAAACTATTGAGTGGTCTGGAAGAGGCTATGTAGCTGCACCTTCGTGAAAACGCGATTTTCAGTCTGATCCTATTTTCATTCGAAAATTTTCTCCGGTGTTTCTTTACATATGTGTGTTTAGGAAATAAAACGTGTTAGAATAATGACAATACGGATTATTGATGAAATCGAAGATCATGCTCGATATTACACTGAATTTAAGCAAAAATGGGTTAATAAACGCCGCCACATATTATCATTGATTAATACACCTGTTGATGATCTCAACGCGATTTTAAATGAAAATAGCATCATTTCATCGCAAGTTACTGACAATGAAAATCATAATATTTCAAAACAACCATCTTTAGCTGTTAATGATACCACTAAATCGGCTGGTGATTTGGAATGCTGGTTTGTGAACTTATTAATCGATTCATCATCGATATATCCAATGACAAGTTCAACTCTAATGCAAAGACTTTCTATGCAAATTACACCCGAACAACTAGAACAGTTAATTAAAAAATATTCTCGAAAAAAATTAATAACAATCGATTATAATGGTCAGACAGATGAACAATCATCGATTAAAAATCTACGAATATTATCAACTGACTATAAGAAATTACAACTAAAGCAACGTGACTTGAACGAACAGTATGTCCACGGACATCATCGACGTTTTTCGAATGTAAGAATTCATGCTGACTGATCTAATCAGGCACTTTTAACATTGATTTTCGAGACAAAGAGACTCGTTATAATCACAAGAGTACTTAATGCGAATGGTGTAAAGAAAAGAATATGCTCATGGAATCAAAACTTTTTTACTTTCGATAGTTACTGATTTCAACGTTCATTTCTATTTAGACAGCAGATGATCTTCCATCAAAACGTTCAAAATTAGAAAATCCTGTATCACCATTATCAATTCCATCTACATTTTGTCAACAACAACACCCTGTTCCATTGATGGGTCTTCTTTCTACCTCTCATTCACAAACCACGAATAGTTCGTTTAATTACCGTCGTGGTACTATTCAAATGCAAGCGCAATCTCCACGTCATTTATATAATTTACTTTCACAACAATCGGCGTTAGAACGTGAAACAGATAAAACAAATACAGAAATGAATAGTTTATTAACAAAACAGACAGCGATGGAAGTTATGTTGTACGAACGATTTCGAACAAAAGATCGTATCCAAGAATATTGTCAGTATACCACACGAGAAGAATGCCCATTTGCTAATCCAATGATATTGTTTATGCTAAATAATGAGAATCAATTTTCTCCACCTCTCGCGTCATCTTCATCCTCATCCACTAATAACAATATGACGACAACAACACCAAATGAAATAAATAATAATAATAATGATGATGAGACAGAATCAACTAAAGTTTTAGATGACAAATCAGACATAAAACAAGAGAAAATAACAGAGAAGGCAAAGGAGAATGTGGGAGATGATGATTCAGGAAAAAAGACGTCGGCAAATACAGCGTTACCGAATTCTGAACAGAATGCGAATAACTTAGTAAATAATGAGCATCCGCAACCACTTCCTCCACCACCGCCGCCGCCGCCGCCACAGTCATCCACATTCAGACATTATCCTTATCATCGAAATTACCATCATCGTCATCCATTGCCATCTCATCGCAATGGCGGAGGTTATTGTGGAAAAATACATTTTAAACGTCTTATAAAATCTCATACAGATGTTACATTAGGCGATTGTTCGTTTCTAAACACATGTTTTCATATGGTAAACTATCTCGTTAATGAGTAATTAGATATAATTATTTATTTTTCTTTGTTTCAGGAAACATGTAAATATATTCATTATGAAATCGATATGACTGATGTTAAACCACAACAACAACAGACTATTCCGCCAAGTATCAATACAAATAATGAACCATATTATAATCAACGATATCATAAAAATATAAGTCAAACTATTCCGATTGTTGAACGAATAAGTCCAAATTCAATTCCATCTCAATGGGTATTCATAAACTTTTTTTGTGCATAATTAATGCTCGCCTGCCACGCGTGTGATCCGGTTCCACTACTTTAGTTTATCAATCCCTTGTAGAATATGTCATGGTGCTAAGGAAATACTATAATGAATTAATTTTTATGAAGTAGATGTGTTTTCTTCTACTAATTTAGCTTTAAATAAAAGTATATAACAACTTGAATAAGTGACGTTTTATGTTTAGGTTCAATGTGATCTTCGAGAATTGGAAATGTCTGTGCTAGGTAACTTATGTACTTGAAAACTTTTACAAATTTTTGCATAATTAAAATTTGCTGAATGTTGTATCGAATCACATTATTTTGTTATGATCTTTTAGGAAAATTTACTGTTATAATGGCTGATCCACCTTGGGATATTCATATGGTGAGACAACGGAAAGAATTGAAAAGAGAATATAAATATGTTTTCCATTTGTGTATTTTATTAGGAACTCCCCTATGGAACCATGGCTGATGAAGAGATGCGTCGACTAAATATTCCATGCCTTCAAGATGAAGGCTATATTTTCCTATGGGTAACTGGCCGTGCAATGGAATTAGGACGTGAATGTTTGAGAATATGGGGATATGAACGTTGTGATGAATTAATATGGGTGAAAACAAATCAACTACAACGAATTATTCGAACAGGACGCACAGGTCATTGGTTAAATCATGGAAAAGAACATTGCCTTGTCGGCGTTAAAGGAAATCCTCCTGGTATCAATATGGGATTAGATTGTGATGTTATCGTCGCTGAAGTTCGTGCCACTTCTAGAAAACCTGATGAAGTCTATGGTCTAATTGAACGATTATCACCGAGAACAAGAAAAGTTGAATTATTTGGAAGACCACACAATGTTCAACCCAACTGGATCACTCTTGGAAACCAACTGGATGGTGTTCGATTAGTTGAACCTGATGTAGTCAGACGATTTCGTCAAAGATATCCGACAGGTTATGCTATGTCTAGTGGAACAACGACAACAACAGTATCGACATCACAACCGCAACAACAACTACAATCTCTACCGAATAATACTAACACTGGTGGAAATAGATTAATTTGATAGAAAAAAAAATTTTTTCTACTTCCTTTTTGTATATGAATCCCACGAGTATATATTTGTCCTTCGCTTTTTTTCTAACAGTGTTTTGTACAAAATTGTTTTGTGTTCTATTTGTATGTGATTGAAAAATTATTCTTGCTCTTTATCTGTAAAGACATAAATATTTATATTTCATTTCATGTCGAAGTACAATTAGGAATATGATTATTAATTAAAGTCACTTCGAACGAATGCTCTATATTTTGTTCTTTCATTTTACAGATGCTTTTCAACCAAAACATTTGACTAACTTAAAATAAAAATAACGTTCATTTTTAATTAACACGTGAGTTACGTACGCATTTAAAAGTCTGACGTGATTAAATACGGATCAAGTAACTATGATGAATTGATTTTATTGAACGCAAAAAATAATTTGTTGTAATTCTGAATACAAGATCCTAGAAACTGGCTATTCATATGATCAAGAGTAATTCAACTGATCATATTCTGGAGATGAGTCGCTGTCAAGTTTCCTACTGAGGAGAAAACGAAAGCTTTTCAATACTGTGGGAGTCCTTCACTTTCCGTCTTGGTTGCGATAATTCTGGTTACGGTTATCTCTTGTTCCAGAAGTTTGAACTTCAAGTTTTTTGCACCTTTTATCTCTCTCTCTCTCACATTTGTTAAATGAAAAATGATTACATTTAGTCTTTAAAATTATGACAATGTTTTTTCGCATTTTCTCAACTCTCTTTTGATCTTTAACACTTTTAAGCTGTAAATGTAAGCATCACTACCCACAAAGTAGGAAGAAGACAAATTGATGACTTTACGTTTTACAATTAAATTATTTTCTCTCTTTTTTACCATTTGAGGATGAAGAAGAAGTTGTTGTTTTTTCAGATGCAAAAGCAATGAATCTCCTTTCATTTTATTCAGACAGTGTAAAAATAACTTTTTCGCTTATATGACTGATGTTTATCTCAAGTGTTCGGGGATAACATTGCTATAATAAATAATAATCAGCCACCATTTGACGTATGATAGATGAAGAGGAATGAAGGTTAAGATTATATTTATTGTTTACAATAAAGAATAAAAAGAGAAATTATAGTCTACATATGAGATTTTGGCGTGAATTTAATTTACGATCTTTGCTCTTTTTATGTTATCAGTTATATTATTCTCTTTTAGAAAGAACGTGAACAAATTCTTATTAATCGTCAGTTTGTTTTTAAGAAAAAGAATATAGTCACACTTTTCCTCTTTCTAATGCATAAAAAAAATCTCTCTTTATATCGAAATGGTACTTTACACGTATATATTTGATGCATTTGAATACATATCATCGTGTAGAAAAAAAAAGAAGTGTTTTGTACGGCACGATTGTGCCATGAGTACACATCTGTTTAAGGTACTCTAAACGAGAATCCTAAAAATAATTCTGAGAGAAAATAACATAATATTGATGCTTTAGTATAACATTTCAATGAATTTTAAAATCCTTTGGTGATCATATCGTTTCCTTTTTTGATCAATTTTTTACCTTTTTATTTTCTAGATTTGTGTGTTCTCAATATTCTTTACCGGCTATTAACTTATTTCTATATCAAACTATATTAAAAACGGTTTTTAATTTAAACTTTTTGTTGAAAAAAAAATAACAACAATGTCGTATCACGGCGATCAAAATCATCAATATCAAACGTTAATAGAACCAACTGATGAATTTTTGGCACAAATATTTCAAAAGTAAGTTATTAAATTGAAATTGATGTCTATTCATAGTACTTGGAGCTTTTTTAACAGAATATATAGAAGAAATGGGATAGCAAGATTAAAAGTTACCTTGACGTTTCATATATGTGATTATTTTTGTCATTGTCTAATTCCCTAGGGTTGATAAAGATCGTTCGGGTGCAATTACAGCGAATGAATTAGAAGAGGCCTTGTCAAATGGATCATGGACAACTTTTAATCCGGAAACGGTTCGAATGATGATTGGTGAGTAGCAGTGAAATATCACTGCAGTTTTTATGCTATTATTGAGACTAAGTAAATTTTTGTGAGATCTCTCGTTAGTCTTGATTCTAGTTGTCAATTTGTTTTACGTTGATGAGTACTGCAATACTACCGTACTTACCACTTAAACTGTTAGGATAGCTTTTAATAATTTCCGTAAGAAAATTATACGGCAGTACATACCTATAGAACTTCCAAAGCAACTTTATGGTTGTTACAGTTAGTAAGAACAAAACAAGTTTAGTATCACTTTCATTCATTAGTGCTTCACTTCCATTCAGATTGTCACCTACTATTAGCTAAAGTGCGTCAAAAATAGAGTATGAGCATTATAGAAAGATTTTACGTTTACTTATTCATAATCTCATGCTTCGTTTCATTATTATCACTATTTATTAACGATGATCCTATTTGAGGTATCTAACCGAGTGATGTGATATTGAGAAACATGCCACCTCCTCTGAAACGATAATACAATTAATCTTGATGAATTTCAAAACTGGTAGCATCATATTGTTCAATAGGGACAGGTATGTCTCAATTTCGATAGAAGCCATAGCATTTCAATAAAAATATCAAAATTTTAAGATTTACAGATTTGAATTTGACATGGTTATGTGTGTTTTTTCTATTTTAACAGTAGTATAATGGGTGGCGCAAAAAGAATTATAGCCTCAGTATTTTCAATTTCTCTCCTCTTTCTTATAATTAATTGAACAAATTTCTTTACTAAAAGATAGCCCGTTCAATTCTCTATAAAATATGTATTTACTATTTTATTGCAAAATCCGAAGGTGGAAAATGAGATGAGAAATCCTATGAAGTACAAAAATGGAGAAAAAATAAGTTAGACAACCCCCTTTTAAGTTTTATTCCCTAAATGTTCGTCAACGGAAGAAAAGCTGAAGTAGCCATCGTGTAACCCTTGGAAAGTTCTATCTTCCACCTATGGTTAAAACTTTTTTACAGTTAGAACTGAGGGCATAACAACCATTTTTTTTGAAAATTCTCTAAAAAGGATGATTTTCGATCAGGAATTTGCTCCATTCGATAAAACAAGTATAGCCTAGTTAAACTTCATCCTTTGAGGTTGAATTTTTTTCATTTTGAAGACCAATGATTAGTCTATATTGTGGAATCGGTAAGATTTGAGAAAGACTTCGTTATTATCACACGTAGATAAGGTTCAAACCATTTGCTGTTTTCGTCCGATTTCTGACAAGTCAATCTTTGCGTCGGATATTTTAACTTAAAACAAATTTTATTGCATGCCATGAGAGGGAGTTCACTTGAAACAATACAAAAGTTTACTCAAATCATGTTGTTATACTTGTGAAACTATTTGAAAAAATTTAGCTCTCTAAGAAAATACATTAATTTTTTCTCTATTTTTGTAGGATTTCTTATCTCATTTTCCACCTTCGGATTGTGCAATAAAATAGTAAATACATATTTTGTAGAGAACTGAACGGGCTATTTTTTAGTAAAGAAATTTGTTCAATTAATTATAAGCAAGAGGAGAAAAATTGAAAATACTGAGAGTATAATTCATTTTGCGCTACCCGTTACATACTAATGTGAGAAAACTATACGAGGAGGATACGTTTTTTGCGCCAACAATGCACACCGATTTTTATTTATTTGAATAAAAGCGCAAAAAAACCAATTTTTGCTTACAGGTATGTTCGATCAGAATAAATCATCTACAATCGACTTAAAAGAATTCAGAGCCCTATGGAAATACGTTTCTGATTGGGAACGTTTATTTAAGTATACCTAGAACTATCGATTTTGTTACATAAATGTAATTACTATTATTTTGTAGAACATATGATCTTGACAAGTCTGGAAGAATCGATAAATATGAGCTAAAAACGGCATTAACATCATTTGGTATGGTTTGTATTTTTGCTTTGCACACTTAATGCTAGAATTTAAAATTGAATTAACATTGACAGTAGATCCTATTGGGACACTTTTTAAAGAAATGACAATTGATAATTATATTATATTATCTAAATCTTATTAATATTACAGTACACGTCAATAATCTCGCACCACTTTTTTGTTTTGAATCGTGTATTAAAACTACACAGCATTAATTTAATTTGATTAAATGCTTGTATAGTAGAGGTCGAGTACTATATATATACACCTGTTTAATACGAAAAACCCTTGAATATAATAAAAATGTTTGGAAGACTTTATTTTGCAATAGGAATTGTTTATACAGAATTTATAAAGCTTTCGAAAAAAAATCAAGATGCTGTCATTTTCTTACGCCGAGATACTATAGATAGATAGATAGATAGACGAGATATTCGTAACAAACTATGTTGCAAACATTTTGGGACACGCGCTATTTCACAGTGTTTAATATTTTGACTATAACACCGTTGTTTCTCAATGAAATCCAAAATGTTTTTTTACCAAAATAATCAGCGACAAAAGCTCTACAAAGTCTGATAAAATGAAAAGTTTTCTGAATACTTTGTGTTTTTTTTACGGCATTTTTTTTCTCAGGACTGAACTTTGTTTTTTTTTATTGTATTTTATATTCAAGGATTTTTCGTATTAAACAGGTGTATATATATAGTACTCGACCCCTACTATACAGACATATAATCAAATTAAATTAATGTTGTGTAGTTTTAATACACGACTCAAAACAAAAAAGTGATGCTAGACTTTTGACGTGCACTGTAATTAAATAGATTTAGAATATAAAAGACTGTTATCAGTCAGTGATTTATAAAACATAGCAAATAATGTTATCATATGGAAACATCAGCTGAAAAGGGTTAAATAAACTTTTTAGAAATGTATTTATTAAACAGACTTGTTTGTAAATGAATATGAACAAGTTTCTGAAAAAAATCTTTAAATGCTTTTTATATTCCAAATGTTTATAAATATGGTAGAAAACTAAATTAAAAAAATGATTTCTTTAAAAAGTGTTGCAATGGAATGTGTATTAATTTCTTTGCTTGTTCTACCATTCATAACGATCGTATCAAAATATATATAAAAATTGATATTAATTTTGTTTATCGCGATTATGTATGATATTATCAGTTCAGTGGTTTTCAACGCCCATATAATAAAGATTTTAGTTGATATCTTTACGAGTGTGGAACATTTGACTTTATTCGATCTTTCATTCGTAAAAAACTCTACGTATTCATTGTATGAAGTCATACAGTCCTATATCTAATTTCTCATACAAGATAAATTGTTACGTCTCAGTTACCTGTTTCATTGCTACGGTATATTTTACGATGATGAATGGTATCAACAGGGTTGCCAACCAAGGGGAACAAACCATTGACTGACTGTAGCATCATTTGTATCACCACCATAGTCAATGGTTTGTATCCGTTGGTTGACAACCCTGAGTATCACACATACGATTTTTCTTAACAATTAAAATTTTATATATTTATCCAAATAGGTTATCGTTTATCCGATCGTTTTGTGGATTTATTAATAAAAAAATTCGATCGTTCAGCATGCGGTACTGTGGCATTTGATGATTTTATACAAGCGTGTGTTTCAATACAAGTAAGATATAGCTTTAATGTAGATACTCTTTATATATTCAATTAATGATTCGTTATTATTCGTTTTAGACACTAACAAATTCATTTCAATCTTATGATCGTCAACGCAACGGTTCTATCACAATTGGATATGAAGAGTTTTTAACATTAGTGTTTACTTTAAACATGTAAATCTTATAAAAAAAAAGAATTTCTGTTTTATTTCTACTTTCTTTCCACTTTGTCATTGTTACCTTCTTTCTGTAAATGTAAAGATGTGATGTAAAGATGTGATGTACAAAGGTGATTCAACCATAACCAAAAAAACTTCCATATTCTTCTCTTTGATACGTTTTTTTCTCTCATTAAGTGTGTGTACGATTTGTATCAATAGTTTTCCCATGATCAAATCGAGTAAGCCTTTAAACATTTTTTTAAATTGTTAAATGTATTAACTGCGCAATTAATTGTTCGCGCTACGCTTCATGGTCATTATTGTTTTCTGTTTCTATATGCAATGTGCTGAATAAGCTCAAAACCACTTTCAGCTGTTCATGATTTTTTCACGAGTAAGTTTACTTATTGTGTAAACATTCCAGATTTCTTTTCACGATATTTCCTGTAGGCTTGGGTTTCTTTTGCTTTTATTTTAAATTGGATCGTTTATATGGCAATTGTGATCTGATAACTTCAGTTATTTAGACTTCATTTGTGATGTGTCCATTTTTAAAAGAAATGTGTTGATTTCTGTAAATAATATATCAAGGAGTATCCACAGATAATGAAAAATGATAATGTGTTACGTTTAGACTAGTTAGAGAAAAAGATACATATGATTTTAAATGAGATTGAAAAAGTTTGATGTTGTATGTACATAGTAGTATCTCGTTTCAATTTGATTCCATGCTAACAAAAAGTACTTAGTATGTTTGTCAAAATTTATCTCTAGTTTTTTCAAAATAGATTTTAAATTTCTAGTGTTCACATTGTCATAATTGTTTGACTGTTTGTCCATCAAAAAAACGGTAAAATAGACAAGTACTTGTTCTTTTCGTGTATGCGATAATATGCGTATAACGTGTTCTTTCCATTTTACTATTACATTAGTAATTTTATACAAAAGAGAAAACAGTAGAAAAGTCATCTCACTTAATGGAAAAGTTTGGCACAATATACGATTAAAATACGAAAACGAAGAGTTTTACTTTTTCGCTTTTCGAAATTAGTAGTGATAACTGACGCATTCTTTTGGGAAATATGTATAACACTTTTTTTC